TACAGAAGTCCTGTCCACTGGCTTTCGTGTCGTGTCTGCTGGCAATTTACACAAATTCAATAAACGACAAAAGCCAGCAATATAATGTGAAACAAGAACTGGTAAAAGTGTTGAGGTCTCTTTGGGGGTGGCGGTTCGAATCGGTCTAAATTGGTAGTGATAGGGTGGGCACTCATTAAAGTTCTTGAATCGATTTTCGACATTATCAAATTAGCTCCAGAATCTCTTTAAGTTTGCCTCCTACTGAAAAAAATATGTAGGAAGTATAAAAACATATAAAAAGTAATATCCTAGACCATTATCAGGTTTCGAAATTATTCAATATATATTTTCTCGTACTTACATTTTTTTTTATTTTAATTTTAAAAACAAATGATTTTTATGACCTCCGAATAAAACAGTTGGCTCGGTGAAAAAGCGATCATAAAATAACTTAAATTCATAGTCTTGAACCTCATACTTGGTTGCTTTTCGTTGTCATATAATTTATTATTATTTGTAATTCTCAGTGCATTAAACACCACCCAATCGCTCAATTTGAACACCCATATTTGTTGACATTCGAGGCCTATAATTTGTGTAAATATTTTAGGAGAAAGTGCCGCGAAAGCTTGGGTCTTTTTGTTGCGGGCAGTTCCATCATAAATTCATGGCACCTGAATAGAAACGTGAAATTAAATTTAATAATGCATCCTCTGGCCACCCAATGGTCCCACGTTTTATAATTGAGTAGCTCTTAGGCAAATTAAATTAATTATGAGTTGGGGGAAGCGACAGTTGGTGTCGGAGCTTTTGGTGTTGGTTGGGTCAGAGGTCACAACATTTCAGGCACATATGTGTAAAATATGGATTATGGATTATCAATTTTAGGGGAAGTTTGTTGTCAAAATATTGAAAAGACTATTGCGTGGAAAGCATTTAATTCTTATTTTTATTTATCGTTAAGAATAGTTTTGTTTTGAATTTTCAAGCTTTGAACTTAAATAAATTGTTTGTCGAAAGATTGCATTCAAAATCTAATCGTTTGTCACAGCTTTTTTTATATAGCTCCTACAATAGTTTAAAGTAATGTCTTGGGCTACAAATAAATTAGCTTCGTTAATATTTATTAAATTTTAAATTCATAAAGATATTAGTTAACCTTGAGTAGTTGGCACCTTGTACTGAAACCTTTTTTCCCTATTAGAAGGACTATAAGTTTCAACTTATCCGAAGGTTCAAAGACTTCCCAGCGTAAAGGTACAGTACCCTCTCGATAACCATCGAACTGCTCCATTTGATTTGCATGCGAAGACACGCAGGGACTTTTGGGTGTTCAAGTTCACGGCTTGATTTATGGCTCACGCCAGCTCCTTGAGCTCCTTGAGCTGGGAGCCACAGGTAAACAAGACCCTCGGGATTCCAAGGCCCCCTTCCCATTTGTAAAGGCGAGACCTTGGCGCGCAAATTCACAAATCCATTAAGAGTTCGTTGGGTGTTTCCCGCGCTGATGGCCTTTTTACGATTGTTGACAACAAATTGACACGATTTGTAATGGTCTTGTCCAGGTCAGGTCATCAGCCGGGCCAGGCGGCACGTGGCCAGTCAAGGACCAAGGCCCAACCACTCCCACATCCATAGCCATATATCCCGGAGGATCGAAGCGATGTCGACCACTGCTGGAGCGAGCAGCTGGTCGGGAAGCAGCGGGGGCAGCAACTCCTCCCAAGGACGATCCATTGCCACCGCCCAACCAGCACAGGAGGAGCGCCTAGTGGTGAGTACCTGGGTTACGCATTTATTTTTAATAAAAATTAATAATTATATAATATAAATAATTAATCGCGCCTAATTGGTTTTAAATAATCCTAAAGAAATACTAAGTTAATAGTTTCAAAAGTCTAACTAGAAAAATTTTAATGATTAATAATATAAAATATTAAATTAAATGTCATTCTTCCTTTTGCATTTATTTAAAATATATACTCACTAAATACGTGACTCATTATCTCAATACGTATCTCATTCAAACAATGTATTTTCATAGTAATCGAAATTAAAGTACATTAGGGGTGATAGTTATAGATTTTTAATGAGTTGCATTTGCGAGGGATGTTACTCAGACCTATCTAGTCGAATCTATAATGAAATAATAACAATAATTAACCTCTAATACCTTCCAGGTGGCTGTGCGTGTTCGTCCCAGTTTAGATGCCACCGAACGCTGCATTGAGGTCGTCTCCGGAGGATCTCTTCTCTACGATGACGGCGGCAAGAGTCGACCACGGCAGTATTCCTACGATCATGTTTTTCGGGAGAACGACAGCCAGGAGCAGGTGTACAAGACCACCACCGCTCCGCTGGTTAGGGATGTCCTGAATGGCTTGAATGCGGCAGTGTTTGCCTATGGAGCCACAGGTTCCGGGAAGACGCACACCATGCTGGGGCCTGTGCCGCGCAAGAAACCGCAGACTGCCGACCGCCCTCCGGCCACCGCCCCTTCTGATTCCACGGATGTGAGCAGCCAGGACATCGGACTGATGGTGCGCGCCATAGAGGATATTTTCAGTCACATCGAGGCGGCAGAGTCGGATTCCTGCCGCGTGTCCATATCTTACCTAGAGATATACAATGAGCTGATCCGAGATCTCCTGAATCCGGGAGGACCTTTGGAACTGCGTGAGGATCATCGTGGCCAGCGCATCACGGTAGCGGGTCTCTCGGAGATAACCACTTCCAGCAGAAAGGAGGTTGTGAGTCTGCTGCTCAAGGGAAACAAAGCCAGGACCATGGAGCCAACGGCCGCGAATCAAACCTCCTCCCGCAGCCACGCCCTCTTGAGCATCATGGTGCAGGCCAGGACTCCACTGGGCACCAAGCAGGGGCGGCTCTTCCTCACCGATCTCGCTGGTTCGGAGCGGGCCAAGAAAACCAAAAATCGCGGGAAGCGACTGCAGGAGGGCGCACACATTAATCGCAGTTTGTTAGCACTGGGTAACGTGATCAATGGATTATCCGGCGGGGCGAGATATGTCAACTACCGAGACTCCAAGCTGACCAGGCTGCTCAAGGAGGCATTGAGCGGTCGTTGCAAGACCGTAATGATTGCCCACGTCGCCCCGGAAAGTAAGCACCGGGACGAGACCAAGAACACCCTGGTTTACGCGGATCGGGCCAATAGCATCACCACCAAGCTGCAGAACTCCGTGTACATCGATGAGTTCAAGGACTTCCCCACCAAGCACTACCAGAGCCTCGTTTCGGAGTTGCGCGATGAGGTTTCCCGCCTGCGCACCAAGATGCTAACCGAAAGGCCACGAAGTGGGGCAGCTGCAGCAGCGGCGGCCGCAGCAGCCTCAGGATCGGCAGGCGGTTCCGGATCCGGAGCAGCATCCGAGGTTGTTCAGGAACAGGACGAGCAGCGGAAGACCGAGCTGCGATACCTCCGCGAGCAGATCGTGCTCACCTTTAAGCAGCAGATGAAGCTGCGACGAAAGCTCCTCGAGGCCGAGAGTCATCTCCTGGGATTGGAACTTGATGCCGAACGGCAGCACATGATCATCTCCCACTGGCAAGGACGCATCGGGAAACTATATGACGCCATGGGCGATGATGGTGGGTACTTTGTTCTTGATTAAATATTGAAAACCATAATTAAATAATTTTAATAATATTTTTTCTACATGTTGAAAATATTTTATTACCGAGTATAACTTCAAGTGCGATTTTTGTTTCTACTACCTTGCTATTAGTTTTTCAGTGATATATTCTTTTAACAAAGGGCTTGAATTAATATGATCAAGACATACTTCTAACTAAAACCTTTCGTGGTTTCTTTGCAGACATAGAATCAGAGGGATCAGTGGCCCTAAAGAATGCCTGGGGAGAGCTGGCGGCCATCGAGAAGGAAACACGCCGTTATAAGGAAATTCGGGAGCGAACGGAGCACGAGCTGGAGCAGTGTCGCCAGAAGGGAGTCAAGCTGGAGGATGTGAGTCATAACCCGATGGACTGCTTTCTTTGATATGCAATATGCGGTCTTCCTTTTCCTACAGGAGCTTCCAGAGCGCATTAGTAGCGACGAGGAGCGGGAGTTGTTGGCCCTGCTCTGCCGCGTCCACGAGTTGGAGGCGGACAAGGTCTCCCTGCAGGCGGAGCGACTGGCCCGCCAGGCGGAGCTCCGTCGACGTGACCTCCAGTTGCTCCGGGCGGAGCGACAGCGTCGCCTCTGCGAGGACATCATCAGCTCCCAGAGGCGGCTCATCGAAGAGGGCAACGTGGATCTGCCGGACGAATTACGGGAGCTTTATGGACTCTACCAGCAGGAGATCCATGCGGGTGTGGTCACGCCCAGCACCGGCAACTACGAGAGAAAGCTACCGCCCATCTACACAGCTGGGTAAGTGTGTCCTTTTGGCCGTTTATTTTAGGCTTATCCTACAAAATATGAAGATATACCTTTATATTTCTACTTAATCTGCTTTCAGATCGGACTCACCGGGCTCCAGTTCTAGTTCGGAGTGGTCGCCGGCCTCGCCCCTGCCGCAAATCGATAGCCAGATGGATCCCGTCGACCGCGTCATGGGTCCGCCAGTCAATCCGCGTCTGCCCCGACTTTCCACGGCCTCGAATGGGAATGTCCCGGTCGGAGGACCACGACGACCATCGCTGCGGGTGGCCAGAAATCCCCATCCGCGTCCTCATCCGTAGGATCGACGTCAACTAACGGCGGGGAGGTGCTCAGGAATAGTTGTAACTAAGGGTTAGAATTACTAGGAAGAGGATGCGATCGTCTCAAATTACTTATTGTATTATAACTCAGAAAATCACGCACCTAAATGTGTTATGAATCCTTAAACGTATCAATAAAACAAAAAGACAGCTTAAAGGAATAAAACAGGTTTTTTAATAAATTGGTGAGATGGATGCGAATTATAATAATTTTTGGATATATAATTTGTAGGGTGTATTAAAGGAGTTTAATTTCAAATATTTGTTCAGAACTAAACTCCAGAGTGTCACTAAAACATCGAGCTGTATTCGCACTGTACCATATAGATGACATGCAGCAGAATAACCGAGCAGCCGTCGAACACCAAGCTGCGATTCATGCGATAAGTCCCGAAAATATGGACGTAAGTGTTCTGCTCCGCCAGTTGCAAGGAGAACCATTCCATCTGGAAAAATAAAGGACATAGAAATCAAAATAGGACCTTTGATTGAAGAGCTCACACTTTCGCTCCATCTGCACATCCCGGCTATAAAGCCCCCTGATCACTTCCTTTGTAGTCTCCAAAAGGGAATTTGCGGTGTGCGTCAGAGTGTTCATCATTAGCGAAAAGAGCAGAGGTTGAATACAGGTGACAAATACCATTTGCATGTACTGCAGTTCCGATTCTATGGCACTGTGGCCAAGAAACACGCGAACAAACATGTATCCGACCCGTATGCCACTCCACACATTCCGCATCAGATAGCACAGAAAAACAAACCTAAGGTGGAATATAAAATTATATAAAATTAAATATGCTCTGCAAGGGTATAAGGATCGAAATTAGTAAGAAAGGAAATAATTGTTTAAAGAAATGAATCAAAAAATCAACACTTACCTGAAGACAAAGCAAACCTCATCCGTCATATTAATCAGCGTCTGAAACATGGTTTGCAGCTTACGCAGGCGACAAAGCTGATCCGGAAAAGGTTTCGGGTCCAGGATCACAATCTCGAGACCCGACTGCAGGCGCCACCAGTTCCGACAGATCTCTAACATGAGTCCAAAGGCCAAAGAGTTCGTGGCAAAGATCATGCATTCGGAGAGGAAACAGTTGCAGGGATTGTGGTTGCCTCTCAGAAATCGACTGACATTTAAGGCAGCATGGATGACCAGTCGAAGGATTAGCAGGCAAGTCAATGTTACCATGAGAAAGTTTAGAAATCGCTTCTTGCTTTTGGGCACCCGGTAGCCCCGTGATTTACTTATCCCCTCCAGTTCCAGAAGTTTCTGAATCATTTTACAAATCCTATCCTGCCGTCGATGAGCACAACCCATACAACTGATCAGGGATAGGAACACCAATCCGAAGTATGTAATGGCAGCCAGCCTCACCAGCGGTGATTCCTCGAATGAATCGGCACTGAAGTGCCAGAAATCCATCAGGAACTTTATCGTCAAAATAATTACCAGTAAGTTGTGGATTATCCGATAGCAGGACAGAAATTGGGACTGGCGTAATCTCCCCGAGGAGATGTAGCACGTGGTGATGCCATTCAGGTTGCAAAACCAAATAAATCCAAATTGCAGTGCACGTCTTGGTGATATCATGGTCCTGTTTGGAGTTCCCTATAAAACCAACTGAACGCTGAGTTGCAAGCAAATCAGAAGGGCTTCGATTTATATTGCTGCAATTTCAATCAATTTCATTTCAATCCAAGTACGTTTTCCCTTTGGGAATATATTTTACATGGTAATAAGCATTGCTATCGATTTTTAGTCCGCCCTAACAAACAGTTGTTTAATAACTTTTTTTACAGGTACAATTAACCGGCTTTTCGTTAAAAGGATTTCAGGATTGAACATTTTTAAGACATCCCAGTGGACACAATACTTATTCGAAAGCCGATCTCTCAAATATGTCGCCATTTGTTTCATTTCATTTACGTAATTTCCCACGGCTTCGATAAAAAAAACCGAAACTTTGGAGCGCAAAATTCATTTTTTAATATTTTTGTTTTTGTTTATTGACAAATATACTACGAACCGTTTATTTTTCCGTCTGAGACGCATTTTTATTCATGTTTTCATATTTTACAGATGTAAATAAAAAATAAATCGTAAAAAGAAACATGTTTATGTTGATTACTGCGAGCTCATACTTAAATAAGTAAACATTAAATGAAAATTATTTTAAAGCAAATAATGAACTCATTAACGCTGTAATATGTATTTAAGCATTTTAAGCATTAATGAAGTAAATTCTCATTATAAGTTGGTTAAGAATAAAAGAACCCTTTTTAGCAACTGCAATGATGGCCTGTCAAGCATAGATTTAGGTAATATTTGGTGGCCATGGGATAAAAGCAAGTTGCATGGTGACCAGTAAAACTCGATTTGTAAGAACATTTTGACCACTTTAAAGGCTTATCCTTAAGGTAATAGCAGTACTGGCACCGCAATTTTGTAATTTTTTCTTTCAAAGTTGCGAATCGGGCATCGTTTATATACTCTTGCAATCCTTTGGCGCATCCGTTGCACATTTGTAATGTCAAGAGTAGCTTTTTACGGGGATTACCTGCTGTTCCCATTGACCGCTTTAATACATTTGTTGAGATATTTAAATCACGTCTGACAATCTTTTCCGGACGCTCCGTAGATACAACCTGATGAGTTTGTGGATTATCCGTGATTCCAGTAGACGTTTCCATTGGATGCTTTATTGGATTGTTTGGTGTAATTAAGCCGTTTTGATTTAATGTATTTGTAGGTAGTGTAAGGTTTTCCATTTGATGTTTCCATAGAGTGTTTAGAGTGATGAAGATTTTTTCCTTTTGGCGATTAGTCAGACTAATCAGATCATTAAAATTCAGTTGTTTTAGTGGAGAAACCTCCGTGGCTTTTCGCTGGCAAGACAAAGTGACTTCCGAGAAACCTGAGAAACCGGAATGGTAAATCAATCGATTCCGTGCTAAAGTTAAAAACACTCACCGATTTTGTTCGGATTTTCCTGGTCTCGAATCGCATTGGGCACATTTTCTTTACCCAATTTGCAGTAACTCAAACAGTAAATCACTACTCCGTAGTTATACAAATCGATGATACGCAGCACCTGCGAATTGCAAGAGCACTTGTGCAGCACCAAAACTCCGTAGTTAATTACGTATTTTATCTTCCGTGTTTGCTGATTTTGTTTGCCTTTGCAATTGTACATCGTCATTACTCCGTAATTGGTCATGGAGTCCGTGTTGATCTGCAGATCACTACCACTTTGTCCTTTGCAGTAGCAGTGGCACCAGCGATCGGATATAACTCCATAGTGCGATATTACATTGAACATGATTCAGCTTTTCTAAATGCGTTTTTGATGGAATTCCTGCGTTGCTACGACGTAATTATTATTTCGATTATTTTCAGAGTTGCATTCTCCAAAGCTGTTATCAATAGGGAGCTTCCTCGCATCATCGAATTTTCGATTACCAGACACATCGACAGGCATGTGACTCAAAGGCCTTTTCAACCCTGGCTGACAATCGGACACAACTTAAAAGTATTTCGATCAATTACAGATCTGCAAGAATCTGCAGCAAGATGTTAAACAATTATGTCTTGACTTTAAACCGTTAGTATGATTACGGTCCTGAAACGTAAAGCAAGGATCAGATGTTGATCAGACATTCAATGAAGATCTACGGAGTACAGGTTTCTCGGAAGTGCACCGGAAAGGAATAGCTAAATAATTTTCGGTCCATCATAATCTGCAAGTCTATCTGTAGAAGAACAGTTTCCGGAACTCCCTTGATATTGTTAATTCAAGGCCACCACGGATAATTCTCCTGACATCAAGCAAAAAGCTCAAAAAAAGATTCATCTGGTCTAAAAAAATCGCTTTTATCGAACCGTCATCAGTCGAGATCTTTCATGCGCAAACTTCGTTTCCCAAGAAAATAAACCACTGCAAAAAAACATGTCAGGTAAATTTATTTAAACTCAAAAAATGCACAGAGTTTTTAATTACACAATAAACTGTCCATAAAGCTAAAAGGGATTTAAGTTTCAGGGAACCATTTTGATTTATATCTTCTCTTTAAAAACCAATCCCAATTTTAAAATATAATGTTTTTCTTTAATTATGCATCTAATGAGACTTTAGAAATGTGAAGAGTCGATAGGCAAGCTGCATGATCTGTAAGTCAATTTAATGTAAGAGCAAATATATTAAATACGTTTAAAAATCACTCACTTCGGTAAAGTGTACCATATTCACTTCAATTAGGCCGAATGCCCCCAGTTTCTGAGTACGCTGGCAATACTGCATCCAGAGCAGATAGAACTTCCTGTATCGCCGGCTGCCCATATACCATTCCTGGCACCTTAGGGACAACTCCAGCCCCTCCGACTAAGAATCAAAATAAATGGATTATTAGTGGCTTTTCTAGTGTTTTATCCATTGTGGCTCACCGCCTCCTCGAGCTGGGTGCCACGTAGACAGATCTCAAACGTGAAACCCACAAGGACCAAAGTGGGTAAAATGTATTGGGCTATAATCAACACATCCGTCGTCTCCGACAGCACAAAGAGGTAGAAGCAAAGGGACCCGGCGCCTACAAAATTGCTAACTAGGAAAGCCACCTTAAAGATTTCGTTGTATCTGTATTTTCAACAGGTGAAAAGGAACATATTTTAGCAAAATAAATATGTGAGAAAGCGTAAAATACAAAAAGTTACCTGCCACAAAGCCCATTAAGAAGCTGCTGCCTCTGAACTAGCAACCTGAGTTCCTCAAAGAACTGCACCTCGTTGGTCAAACTCTTGCGGGGATCGAGGTCCGAAATCTTCCGTGCAAGATAGCCAAGGTGCATAATCAGGTGTCCCTGCATCACGTTAAACAGATTGTCGAAGGTGACGAAGAAGGAGACGCCGCAAGTCGTGCAAACCAAGTCTATGAACCAGACCAGAAAATAGAAGTCTGGATCCTTCCGTACACCGAATGGCAGCCAGCCACCAAGAAGTTGCTCGTGCAGGGCAACAGGTGATCCTTTTCCCTCGTGGGTCAGGAGGAAAAGGACCACCGGCATCAGGCAGAACAGTGGACCGCCCACATGGGAGTATATCTGGATAAAGCGATAGCGCTTCCAAAAGTTTTGGTATGTCTTATCCATCTGCATTTCCAACTGGCTGGCTAAGTCCCGTGGGCACTCGCGGTCCAGGTCCTTAACAAATTCAACGATATCCTTTCGTTTTATGAAAAGCATCAATCCTCGTATGGAGAAGTATATGGTGATGCTTAAAACAGGCGGATCCTGATTGGTAGGTTTACCAAAACACAAATGCCCAATGATATCCCAACCATTGCAAGCGAAGAACAATATATTGAGGATTGCCGAAAAGCAAAAAGCCCAGTTGGGGGCGTTCACCAAGGTGTTATCCTCTGGATTCCTCCGCCAATGGAAATGTACCATTTGAGCCACCTTCTGAAACAACTGCGGCCGCAGAAAGTCCTCCATCCGATAGGGTTTCCTTATTTCCGTGTTCTTCATTGTGAGGCCAGCTTACTTAACTTATCTGCGAGGACGGCTAGACTTCTTATATATGGCAAATAAGTCAGGGTAATTATATCCGTAATTAATAACGTCCTGTCCGTTGAGGTTTTTAATTGTTGGTTTCATGATCGCATTGTATTGATTACAGGCGAATATCGAATAACTTACGTGTACGTAAACCTTACCGCAAAATATCAACCTTAAAAATAACAATCAAAATACAGCGTAAATTTTTAAAATGTTCCTTCCTTTATTTAATAAAAAAGTGTTAGTTCAAAATATGTTAAAAAAAAAAATTGTTTAACAATCATCATATCATATAAAATGGTCGAATTTTTTAATAATATTGTCCGGTAAATAATAATTTCCTAATCAAGTAACATATTGATTTAATAACCATGACTGTATTTTTAAATTATTTAAAAAATCCACTGCTACAATCATGCAATTTAATATAATTGCTTTTTACATCTCAGCAACTCGGCCAAATTATAGGTTGTGCTTTTGCTAATATTGAATGGGGCAAGAGATAATTGTTTAAAGTGTTGATTTAATTGCAGAAAAAGCCTTCGATTTGAGTGCACTTGTGTTCCAAATACATCTGCAAGTAAAGAAGAATCACACATTCGTTTTTGGTTAATAATGTTTACTAATTACAAAAAGAGTATTTATATTCAAGTTTAAATTAAAACCTTTTCCAAAAAAGTATATCAATTAAATGATTTGTTTAAAGTTGATTTTGATTCCAAGATTTCTTACTTTGAAATCAGAAATCAAAAAACTCCTTTCATCGTGCAGTTTTGAAATCGGCTCTTTTCATGTTACATATATTTTATTGTTAACACTTGACTGTACTTAAGGAATGACAATTGTTGGGCACAGTGAATACCCCTTGTGTATTTCGTAATATGTTGTGCTGACTGCACTGCACAAAACGGGGGTGGGTTTTAAGAAGCACTTACCGAAACATAATTTCCACTTAGCGCTCTCTCTGGCTCTCTAATTTTCCTAATCTCTCTCTCTCCGAAATCAAGGCCGCCCCCGTGAGTTTTTTGTTGTTTTTTTTTCGTATGTGGGTCACAAGCGGCGGCAAACATAAACAAATCGAGAGAACAAGGGAGAGGGCCCTTCGCGAGAGCGAGAGAGGGCATGCGTGTTAAGTGAAATTATCTACGCAGAAGTATCTGTATCTGAAAATGTATCTGCGGCCCTGGACGAGCGGTTTTCGTCATTAGATACAGATACACAGCTGTGAGAAGTTTGTTTTCCGTTCGCATTTGGATTTTGTAACCCGACCAGCGGCAGCAGGTTGCTGTCGAATTGGAGACCAAAATCGCTGGAAACAATTGAAAAATCATTTTAATATTTCACAATTAACGCGAGTGATTTGAGGCAGCAAAAGCCAAAAGATAGTTCACTCGTTCAACGCACAGAAAACAAAAAACATAGCCACCACGCACTTTTGCAGTGCGCAGCAAACATTTTATTCAAATGCCAAAATAATAACAAACATTGTGCCAATCAGCGATGAAAATGTGTATTAACATTACTTCACACAAATTAAAGTGAAAGAAAATCAACCCATCGACAATTCCAAACAAAATATATCAAAACAATAACCAAAAACTGGAAAACAAGACAAATCATTAAAGCAACTCCAAATACACCGCACAAATCGAGTTGAAAGGAGTTAAAAATGCATAAGCCATTAACAGAATTGTGATAATCCATCACGACAAGGTTGTAAAAATCTTTTCGAACTGAGCAGTTAAAAAAGTAAACCGAACAAAACACAATAAAGATCAGACTTCATCAAAGGTCAGTAATTAATAGAGTTGCTGCATGGGGAACAGTCTGATAACGAGTGGAAAACCGAGTCAGCGCCGCGAGAAGAGGCTTTTCGAGAGGCTGAGCTGCAGTTACACAAAGGTGAATGATTTTGGAAAATTTTAGAGGGAGGGGAAGTGAAAGAGGTAGTGGTGGAAAATCGCGGTTGGCCATGGCAACGACACTTAACCGGCCCAAGAACAGGTGGTCAGGTTCAGGTGCGTCGAACCTTCTAAGGGGAGGATCGCAACTGATAAATTTTGATGGTTGCTATGGTTAAGTTGGAGTTTTGTCAAGCACCTAGAAATTTAGTAGAACAAGGTCGGAGATATATAATTACTTACCTAACCGAAGAGTTCTTATAAAATTTGAAATATATAAATATGTTTAACTGACTTTAGAGTAAATAAGGTTGTTTTCTCTGCCAACTGAAACCAAATAATATCGAAATTGTTTCTTTGCAGACTCCCAATAGGATGGAGTTGAATATGAATCCCCTGCTGGTTTTGGCCCGCTCCATAGCGGCGCCTCCCACTCCGCCGCTCACTCCCGAAAAGTTGGACTCAAATAAAGAAGAGGATGAGCCGAAAGCCGACATCGAGCAACTGCCCAACGAGATGTGGCTGGAGATAATGTCCTACCTGTCCTACAACGATCTGCAGCAATTTCGCCTGGTGTCCTGGCGATGCCGAGATCTGGTCCATCGTCGCCGATTCATGGAGAAGGGCAAGGTTATAGTGACACAACACAATCTGGAGGCCATCCACCAGCATGCGAGGGAAGGAAACTGCTACTTGAGTTTCGAGCGGGTCGAACTGCGAAACCTCCGACAGTGCCGCCAGTTGGAGAACTTCCTGCGACTCGTGGGTCACGAGGTGAAGCATCTGCAAGTGCGCCATGCTCCGGTGTTCCGAAATATTGATGGCAAGATGCCCAACCTGAAGGTTCTAACGATTGCCACCACCAGTTCCATAGATGATCAGCATTTAAAGTCGGTGGATGGCCTGGATATGAAGCAGTTCACCCACCTGGTGGGATTCGAATGCGATGGCGTGAGTCTGGACTCCTCACTGAAGCTGCTAATGCTCCTGCAGTTGCGTCGGACGGAGAACAAGGTGCAGCTGAGGCATCTGCAATTCGAGTTCCGAAGGAACAACGAGAATGCTTTGCTCGATGTCCTGCGGGATCATGCGGACACTTTGGTGTGTGTGGACATCTTCTTCAGCTGTTCACCCGGCATCGACACCCGGGAGTGGTGCCAGGCCTTCGAAACCATGAACAGTCTGCGTACACTCAAGCTGTCCGGTAATTGTCATCTGGTCCTTCTGGAAGCCGTCTTAAGAGCCGTGCCTCAATCAGCACCAATTCGCCAGTTGGATTTGACTGGAATGCTATCGCTCACCAACGAACTACTCCTCTATATAGCCGACAAGTGGCAGAGCACTTTGAAGGTGCTGGATCTCATGTTTTGCGTCCAACTCAACGCCAATTGTATCGATGCACTGCGTCAGCTGAGTGGTCGGCTGGAGGCCTTGACCATGGCTTACTGTAGAGAGTTGACGGGAATGGGTTTGGTCCAGGGACTGGTCGCCAACACGAACTATATCCTGCAGGAGCTGCATTTGGAGGAAACCATATTTTTGGATGAGAGCTCCATGTGCCAGCTACTAGAGAGACTGCCCAATCTGCGACGCCTCAGTTTGGATAATTGTCGTCAAGCGGTTACAGACCGCACCATGGCCACCATTTGCAGGTATAAATTACTCATTTTATATGAAAAAATGGGCAAACAACTAACTCTTAAATATTTATAGATACCAAACGAAACTGCGAAATCTGAACATCGATTACTGTGTGAAGATAACTGATCAAGGATTAATGGGCTTTGGCGAGACTCCATATCCCATCAGTCGCTTGCGGGGATTGAAGGAGCTCAACCTTCGGGGATGTCGCAACCTCACAGATCAAGCCCTAAAGATTGGGTTGAGGCTGCCGGAACTGCGTGCCCTTTCTCTGGGCTACTGCACCCGACTCTCGGCAGAGGGTTTTGAGGCCGTCACACAGAACTGTCCATCTCTGGAGGCACTTTGCGTCTCCAGCTGCATGGCTGTGGATGATGATACTGTGAGGATTATCGTGAGTAATCTAAAGCGCCTGAGGATCGTCAACTTGAGCAACTGTGCCAAGCTAACGCTGCAATCCATCCACCATATCCTGGCATATGGACACAACCTAGTGGAGCTGATTGCCTGCTCCATTGACGGAATGGACCATGAGCAGGCGCAGAGGATTTTGGAGGCACAGAGACCGCAAATGAAGCAGGTGCTCCTTTAGCAGGAGAGGTATATTCACTGACGGTCCCGAACCACGCCCCCCAACGATTGGGGGAGGCGGGAGGATGATGAGTTCGATGATGATGAGACCGAGATCATCGAGATTGTGGTTTAGGCGCCGCTCCTATGGCATAGATCGAGATGAAGTTCAGCGTATAACGTACATTGATTTATACCTTAGGAAATTAATTTAAGCCCTGTCAACTGTGGGAAAAACTTTAGAGGTGATACTTAGATTTTTTTAAAACTCCATTCGATTTCTACTTTGAGATCACGCCGAACAGAAGCCAAATATCAAAGTACAGGTGTACCTCCCACCCAAACCCATCTAAACATTTTAGTGATTAATTATTCAACAAGCACAACTTAAACTATTTACAATTTATTCTATTGACTAAGATATCTTATTTCATTATGATTTTTTTTTAAGAATTAAGCAATACCAACAAGCGAAGACTTTATCTTAGACTCTACTTATATTTAAAAGCATTATATTAATAACCCGAAGAGCTTGCATTTTGGTATACCTATTTAAAGCAGAATTAACCAACAGCATACAACTAAACTTAAACGAATAATATTTGGGTGTTGTGCAAGTCAATGTATGTGTAATAAGTGCAAGTCAATATGTTTATAATTTATGGAAGCTTAGGTAGATTAAGTGTATACGGTTGATTGAAAACATTCAAGGAACGAGTTTGCGAAAAGAGGCTGTTAGAGTAAGTCGATGTTCAAATGTAACCCTTATCTGACATATTTTAATCAATAGATATAAGAGCAGTTTTGAGAAAAGTTTTAAATAAAAATAGGTGGATATATAATACGTATAAGGGAAGACAGACTATCCCGATAAGACAGAATGGAACTTTTGGAATATATTCTTTTGAAGAACTTTATTTTACTTAATCAACTTTTAAACATTTATTAAATGTTGCATGTGTTATAAGCTAATCAATATGTAAACGAAAAAAATATAATCCCTGATAAAGGATTCTGAAGTGTGCTACATATAAAAGATATTCAGCTTCTTTTGAAGAAACCCAATAAAAATATTTCAAAGTTAAATTGTGTTTTTCTAAAAGTATTGAGAGTTTAAGTTTCCACACCGCCAATTTATATTTTGTTAATGGTACCTTGACTTATGCTTGTATTTGTAATTTAATATTGTCACTGTCGTCATACCCATCTTTGTAATTCAGAATTTCTTGGCGGTGCAGCCCTTGAGCTTTCATCCTTCACCCACATCACCCGGCGACTTTGATTGATGGGCTTTTTCCGCTTTTTGCCACATTTCCCCCACTCGGCGTGCAGTGGGCGGAAAAGCTTTCCAGGTCGGTGAAGCGTGTGCTGCACGCGAAAAGCTTTTCGAGTGGGAAAACCATTCGACTCGTGCCAAATTCCAGGCCCATTGCACGCACTTTGACACCCATCAAGGGGCGTGTGCCGGGTTATGGCCGATAACTGGAGGTGGGGGGGGGGGATTTGGGGAATGGTGATATCCCGGGGTGGTGGGCACACTTAGCCTTTGACGGTGCTAAACGAAACGAAACAAATGAATGAAAATATTATGTGGCTGATAGAGAATGTCACCCGTCGGCAGCGTGGGCAAACTTAAAAAGCCGAGCGGTCTTGAGAGTCGCGAAACGCATTCGGCCAAGTTAGTGGCTCTGCTGCTGTTTTTGTTGTTCTTGGCGCACAGTGGCTAATGTCCCGAGCCAACGTTGCTGCTCCGTAGACACTATGAATTATTGTTGCCAAAATACACACACGACTGCGGCCCGAAACGGATCCGTAAATATGACTGAAAGGTGCGCGAAATGGTGGCATTCCAAGAAAGCCCTCTCAATACAACTACTTAACATCAATGTCGTTCAACACCTTATAAACTATAAGCAAAATGTTGTATTCATATGTATATGAAATATAAAAATAAAGATACAAGTTAGAAACATATTTTTTAAGCCCTATATTTATTTCTGACTGAAATATATTTCAGTTTTTAAATTCAATAAGTTACACTATGTTTTCCCAAAAGTTGTAAATTTGTTGTTGTGTAAACTGTTATATTGTTGTTTATCTAAATTTTAATAAATTTTAATTTTTAAGGGATCATTCAAATTCCACATTACTCATACGCACAGTTGACTTCTCTCTACTTGTTAATTTTTTGTCTCCGGTTTTCCCTTTAATATAAAACATTGATGTGTTGTTTACATTTTCTGGGCTTAATAAAAATTATGTGCATCTCAAGTTCGCAAAGACAACTAAGTGCTTTATAAATGGGCCAAGACAAACATAATTAAAAGCTTTTGTTAATTATCCGTTTTAATTACCCAGAATTTGCGTTGTTTTCGAAGAGTCTGTGGGCAGTCCCAGCATAGGCAATTCCCATCAAGATAGCTTCGCTCCGAAAGATTTAATTGGCCTGACACGTTCGCTGGACTCTCGGTCGTTACAGCCATGTCGCTCACCTTCCGCATTCATGTGAGGGAAAAGCAGCGACGCTTCGACGCTTCGTCGCTGGCTTTCAGATACAGATACAAATCTGAATGAACTGTCGCCGCGGCTTATCAGATAAGTTCGGAGCGCGCTGGAGTGCGGTTGCAGCTGCTCTCGGGAATCGGCATCGGAATCAAAATCAAATTCGATAAGTTACAAAGTTACAAAGTCGAGCCCCCAGAAGTGGCCAGAGTCGGATTTACGGATCTCGACCTCGTCGGTAATTTGGTGCGTTTGCGTGCCAGTCGACCATATAGAATATATAGAGTCGACAATCGAGAATTGAGAATCTCGAGTCTTGAATCGAGAAGCGCGAATCCAGACCTGTCCCTCCGCCCTGTCGCCTCCAATAAATTATTATAATTAGCATAGTTGAGGGGACATCGAGTCGCAGCCGCAGTTAAACGGCAGTGGAATTTAGCGCTGCTAGTGGAAATTTTGTGAAAACAAAAGGGGAAAAATTCCAATCAGCCGGCGCCATGTCCGCTGGCAATGCGAGCCACGCTCTTGGACCGCCGCGCGATCCGCTGGCGATTGTGATACCCGTTACGGTCATCTACTCCCTGATCTTCGTCACCGGAGTGGTGGGCAACATCAGCACCTGCATTGTGATCAAAAAGAACCGGTCGATGCATACGGCCACGAATTACTACCTTTTCTCACTGGCCATTTCGGATTTCCTACTACTGCTGTCGGGAGTGCCGCAGGAGGTGGCCTACATCTGGTCCAAGTACCCCTATGTTTTCGGGGAGTACGTCTGCATTGGACGGGGTATGCTGGCGGAGACATCAGCGAATGCCACGGTGCTCACGATTACGGCCTTTACGGTGGAGCGTTACATAGCCATTTGCCATCCCTTTTTGGGCCAGGCCATGAGCAAACTCAGTCGCGCCATCCGGATTATTGTGCTGATTTGGATTACGGCCGTGGTCACGGCCATTCCGCTGGCAGCCCAATTCGGAATTCGGCATACATTGGGAGTCGAGCGGTGCGACATAGTGCGTGTTATTGTGGAGCACTCGTTCGAGCTGTCCACTTTCATATTCTTTCTGGCCCCGATGTCCATCATCCTGGTGTTGTATCTGCTGATCGGTGTGCACCTGTACCGGTCGACCTTGGTAGAGGGTCCTGCCTCGGCCGCGAGGAGGCAGCAGCTGAAGAGCGTGCCCAGCGAAACGATCCTGTACCGATATGCGGGGTACAGTACCGCTGTCAATCTCAATGGAACGGGAGGAGGAGGAGGAGCGGGTGCACTGGGCGGCTCGGGGGCTCAACTCAGCTCTGTGAGGGGTCGGCTCAATCACTATGGCACCCGGCGAGTACTCAGGATGCTAGGTAATTAAGCAAACGCCACGTAAATAGATAGGATACACTGAGAAAAACGACTGCAATTCTTAGATAAAGATTTACAAAGTAATTTCCATATTCAAATAAAAAGTTACCTAAATGAAAATATTATCTTAGAATGTGTGTTTCTTCCATAAATATAATTCATATTAAACCAACTTACTTAGAATTGATAATAAATTTTGAATTAGGCCAACTTCCTTGGATTTCAGGTGGTTGATTCAAATTTCTATTTACGGAAGAATCAAAATATATATAAATTTACAATCTTGAGATTTTTAAAGTACCATATCATGATATTTATAAAAAACCAAAAGTTTAAAACATAAACTCAAGAATAAGATTAAACGTTCAATGCTTTTAAATTTTAAATTTATTTTTTCCCGAGTGTATGCCAACTGTTTGCCCATATGCCCTAAGCAGGGGTAATCAACCCGTCTGAGGCCAATTTATTGCGTTTGTCATTTTGGCTCTCCCCATTTACGATGACAATTGTGATTACCCAAAAATATAATCGTTGACTCTTTATCTGTGTCTCCCGCTTTGTCTTCCCCATTTCCATTTCCAATTCCATTTCGATCCATTCCATCCCCCTGCCACTGGATTCCGCCCCACTCAGTGGCCGTGGTGGTGTGCTTCTTCTTGTGCTGGGCCCCCTTCCACGCCCAGCGCCTAATTGCCATCTACATCCCCCAATCCATTGTGGTCGTCTACACGGTGATGACCTACATCTCCGGGATCCTCTACTACCTGTCCACCTGCATCAACCCGCTGCTGTACAACATCATGAGCCACAAGTTCCGAGAGGCCTTCAAGGTGAGTCATTTACAAAAAATGGATAAAACAAATTTTAAGATTTTTTAAGAAGGCCATGATTTTAGCAATGAACTAAATTGCATAACAGATTAAATTTCGAGTAAGCCATGAAAAATCGAACCAAAAATCGAATATAAAATAAACTTTTATTATTTTTAAAGACGTTACGAGTATTTAAGTGTTTTACTTTGTTATAAAAATAACACAAAATTACAATAACTTTAATTCAGTGAGTTAGGTATTTTTATTTTAATAAAATTATAACTAGTAATTTTTTATTTACTTGAACTGCTTAACATTTTTCAAAACAATTTCTAATAGTATAAAATATATTGCTAATTTTTTGATGCAAGTTGGCTCTTCTTAAAATTTGTTTCATAAATTAGCGAAGTACTAACCTCTTTTTTTTCAGGCCGTGCTCTTTGGCAAGAAGGTGTTGAAGGGTTCGCTGAACTCGCGCAATAACATCGAATCGCGGCGATTGAGACGGGCACTAACCAATTCCAGTCAGACGCAGCGCGTCTCCATTGAGTCGGCGGAGCAGGCGAAACAGTCGGTAATGAATTCGAGTGCCCCTATAATCAGTGGGAGAGCCGATACTAACCCACCCTCTATCTGTGCACCCCACCCAGAATCCCCTCAACAAGCCGCCAGTCGCCTCGCAGTACGCCATGATCAATGCCATGAATTCTGTCTAAGCCAGTTATTTGCCGTCGTTGGGTATCTACCGCTATTGCTACTGCTACCAAAGCGTTAGGTTAAAACTGCTTTTGCATTCATTTGCATTTGGCAATTAGAAGTTAATCACAAGCGCGCTCTCTCCTCCAGATTAAGTTTTTCATTCATGCAGCGCCGGAAATCGAAGCTGAATCGGGCTGGGAAAACGCCCGAACTAGTCTTTCAAGTATTTAGAATTATTTAGTTTAAGAATAGTCTGACCTTTTAACTCATACTATTCAATAAACTGGTGCTCTTTAAACTATGGTCAGAGCTCAGGGGGACTTACTCTTAAATAAGCCTGTGAGGTTTATAGCTTAATAATATTTACTGCTCATATAAATCACTCACTTAGTGAACACCCACCAGATATATATAAGAATGTTATTCAAAAAGAATCAATAAATAAATTCTATGACTTAATGGACCGCGTTCCTAAATATTAACAAATATTAAGCAAAAATGTTGTTATTTAAATAAAACAATAAATTTTATCCCAAATTTAAAACTATAATAAATAACCAAATGTTTTACAAACATACCAAAGTGAAACACAGATGATAAATAATAAGCCTTATACTAAGCAGCTTCCAATACGTGTAGATCCTTAATACATATTCACTTATCTCATATAAAAAATTGTATATTTAAGCAACTGTTAACCCTATTAAGATAAGAGTTTATAAATAACTATATTCAGTATCCAACTCAATTCAAATGGCGGACCAAGTTCGTTTACTAACCAGATATTTATATGTATATTGTGTATATATCCTAGGGATACCTGAAAGGATAAAATTTCTGTATTAAAATTATTCCCATGGCTGCAAATAAAGCTTAGCATATTCCGCTCCCGCTTATTTTCCGTATATTTCTAAGGATTCACTCTGATGATATTGTAATTTCGCCATGAAATACATTTTGGTTCTTATCGATTGCCGCCCTGTCGTCTGCGCCTTGTTGACAACAAATGAAATTCTAATGAGGTTGCGACTGGTTCAAGGTCATGCCAATGCAGGGGCAACATGGCGCATTAGTAATCCTCCAAATTGTTATGAAAATGCAATCAGCCAAATGGAAGTCCTTTCCGAATTCACAAAAACTGCAAGGAGTGTTGGCCAAGGAAAGCAGAACCCGCATTAATACGACGACAATGCTTCAAAGTCCAAAGCGCAGCGGGCCATAAAGGAGCAAACAAGTCAGATGGCTAAAACAAAAGCGATTTGTTCTGCGTCACGTAAAGCCAAAAAAAAGAATTGGCTAAAAACAAGCGGCAAGAGCAGCCAAAGCCCAGCACATACACACACGTCCGCAAAGTGACGTAGAAATTATGAAGTTTGTGATTTACGAGCAAATCGGGCGAGCGAAACAGCAGGAAGGCGAGGTGAAAAAATCAGATGTGTGAGCTAATTTTGACTTTCTCAACTTTAAGTTACCTTGTAGTCGATTTAATGAAAAAAAAGGGATTTTATTCAAAACTTTTTCCACGTTTTAAAGTGTTATTAATAAATGATTTGAGTAGCATTTATTTGAATATGAAAATACTTATTCGTTTTAAATCTTTTTCTTTTAAGAATATAAATAGTCTTTAATTTTATTTAGTTGTGCAATAACTGGCTTCAAACTAAAACGATTTTTAAATTAATTTTAAATTTAATCTATTTAAACTGTGTATCAAAATGAAAATATAACTTTAAAATATACGTTATGCGAGCATATTGGATTTCTATAACATCAAACTTTAGTATATTTTGATGTACATATGTACAAGGCAATATCTTTAAACAAAACATCCTTTTTAAATGGAATATACCCCAATTTGGTGAATATATAGGGTATATTAAAACAATGAGATGAAAAAAGTAAAGCCACACAAAACAGCATTTAACGCGTCAAAAGTTTAGACAAACACCCACTCACACACACCAAGAGACAGGCACGTACGCACAAGGAAGGAAGCCCCACACACACACACAGTCACAGCGTTAGACAGGCATACACCCACCCCAGCCCCACTTCTTAGTGGGCCAAGCTGCCAACAGGTGGCGCTGACTGCAGTGTGGGAAATTAATAAGAGAAAGCAGTCGCGCAAAACGTCACTTGAGTGGACCTTGTTTTTGCCGTATAAACCAACTTTTTATTAAGTCTGTTACTGCTTTGGCTTTGATTTAGCGGTTTTCACTTTGTTCTCAATTAGAACAATTAAATTTGACTTGCACGACTCGTGAGTCACGTGCTGAAGTTAATTAAAGCTGGCTAGACGAGAACAATACGCATACGCAACGTTGTCGACAGCTTTAAAAAGTTTATGTGTTTAGAATCACTTTATTTTTATACATCAAAATTTGATGGTTAACATTCTTTAGAACAATGAGAGTACAATATAAAGTTTAACCAACACTGATTATACGTATTTTCTCTTGCCCATCACTAAACATTTTGTATGCGTAAAACGTAAATCAAATTTTTGCTAATATCTTTAAATTTACCAATTGTAAATTCAAAATAATTATAACTTTATTTAACTTTTACTTTAGTAATTACGTTTCCTACAATTAATAAATAACCGATTTGTTGTTGATCGTAGTTGGCTTTTAAATATTCAATTTAGAAGTCGTATCACTATAGCCTTGACTTTTTCTGTTAGTCGTATTAGGTTTGACCCGACCCTATTATCCTCAGTCTACAGCTGGGAAGCAAAAGACACACATCGTCCGGCTAAAAAATAAAAAAAAAATAAATGAAACAATATTAAATAAAGTGAAAAAAATCTGAAAAAAGGTAAATAATTGTGAGAATAGTACAACAGTTCCTAAATTCTTCAAAAAAATCTCCCTGTTTAGTCGAGACGAACATTTGGACGATGTCCAACGTTATTAAGAAGGTGATTCCCATGCTGGATCGCATCCTGATCCAGCGCTTCGAGGTGAAGACGACCACTGCTGGAGGCATCCTGCTGCCGGAGGAGTCGGTGCCCAAGGAGATGCAGGGCGTGGTGGTGGCCGTCGGACCAGGAGCCCGCAATCCGGCTGGAGCGGGACACCTCTCCGTTGGCGTCAAGGAAGGCGATCGCGTGCTGCTGCCCAAGTACGGAGGCACCAAGGTTGACATGGACGACAAGCGCGAGTATGTGCTGTTCCGCGAGAGCGATATCCTGGCCAAACTGGAGTAACCTTGCAGACAAGAACCTTTAACACAATCCAAACCAAACTAACACAATAATGCTGTTAAAAACCTCGTCCACACTCGCCACCGCCACTTGCACCACTTATCCCGGCGCAGACTTCTGTAATTTGCTTCCGGATTGCGTTCGAAACTAAATGATTACGATGAAATGTTCTATTTGGTAGCTTGCCAGCAAACACTTTACACCACTCATTATCCGCTGGCAAAATGTAATATGTCGCGCTTGCTCCCATTGTATCTTAACACACACTATTTCGTGTAAGGGCAGTCCAATAAAACATTGTTCAGGTGCGTTGTGAATTAAATTGACTTTTTTTTGGGTCCTCAGCTAACCAACACATTCTTTTGGCTGTGACAAAAAAAAATCTGGAAAAGCACACCTCAATTTTCGGTTTTTTGATCAAAACCCTAGGAAATAATGGTCAGATCTTGGAAAATCGTACCTCGTTGAATTCGTTGCAAAATTTCCAATCGATTTGTATTCTCAGCTACATTTTATTTTTGTCCCTTATAAAACATGCAAAAATCGGTCAAAAATTGTTTTTTACCGAATTAACCTGAAATTGATTTGATAGATCCTCAGCTGCACACATCGGTTATTCTTTTGGCTGTGTTTATTATTGCCACAATCACCGTTCCATTTTGATATGAAATAATTTAAGAGAATTTCAGTCATTAATCTTAATCCAATTTTTTTCTTAGAAAGTTTCTCTGTATTTAACAGTTAAGCCCGCTGTTCCCACAAAATTAACTTAGCTTTCGTGGGTTGCCAACTGCATTGAGTTGCTCATGCTTCATAGTTTGGATATTGTTATTGGTTCAGAGGTGTGGCAAAGGGGGTCGGTTAGAATGAAGATGCCTCTAAAGACTTTTGCCCAAAAAAGTATGCTAATGCAAGTCCAATAAAAAGTGTCCAACTGATTGTAAACTTAAAGTAGAGCGTTTTCCTTTGAAACCCCGGTACTACGCACCTGTCACCCACACAATGACCTACTATTTACCACCCACTGTACTTTAATCCACCCCCCAAACACCTCCCACCACCCAAAACCCACTCGGCAGCCTGTTGCGTGGGAGCCTCCGTCTAACTGCTCATTGGCAGATGGATCGCTTCGGTTCCGCTCGGATTTCTTCGTGCAGGAGGCTTCTCACTCGGCAGTACCGTTCGTATTGGCTGTTCCGTTATCTTTGCGGCGTTATGTTCTAAGCTATAAAAGCCGTTAGCCGACCGCAGTTTGTTGGCAATTCGAAAAGCGTTGGCACCTGACTCTGATCAACAAGTGGCAAGAGTGGTATTGGTATTGTGTGGAAAGTGTTCTGTGCTAAAAGTTGGCTAAAAGTTTTCAAAACTATTCGCAACATAAGCAAATTAAAACTGACGTCGAAAAATTTGCGTGCAGATTCCTAAATAAATTCTATTGAAAATGTGGTACAGCAAGTGCAGTTGGACTATGGTGGTGTTGCTGGCGCTCTTTGCCCTCGTGACAGGTAAAAATTATTAATAAAAAAAACATTTGTTTAAATATCGCCTGTGAAGTAAGAAAAGGCCAGTGAGCTTCACAACGTCGTTAAGAACTAGATATGTTCAAAAATATTATTAAAATGGCTCCTATAAAATAACAAATTATCAATCAAATTTTTTATCTCCGTTCTTTTACAACTAGTTTCATAAGAAAGCGAAGAGCCATTTTTAATTGAAGGTTTCCAAAAATTAAATCGTTTTTAAAGTGTTTTAGAATTAGCTCTTTAATAGACAAAGGAATCTATTTAAAATTTCTAATATAGTAGTGTCTTATATTTTTCTTCCGATTTTCAATGTAAGTACAATCAATTGTATCCAGTCATTCCAAATTTTATAGTCATTATATTTAAACAAAGCACTGTACTTTAATTTACTTAATTACAAGTAAGTAAAATTGTTAATCTTGGACATGATTTTTCAATCTCATTTCAAATAACCAAACTGATATAAAAACGGTTACAAAATAAAAATATTTAAAAATAAAATGTATTTGATAATTAAAAATTTAAATTGAGTAACGCAACTAAAAACCGTTATTCAAATTAATCCACGTAAACCGAATCGAATCACTTTGCAACATACTTTTGGGCTAAGTGATGAAATTGAATGATTTGCTTCGTCATATTTCCAAGAACTTAATGGGCTATCTAGGCCATAAAAACACCAAACTACTGGCTGATTAACTAACTGGTAATAAGTGTTACCAATATCATGGTTAGCTGGGAAAACTCCAGCTCCCATTTCCCGATCTACCCATCCGCTTTTCCCATTTGCGCTCCTAATCCGCTTTATCAGTTAGAGTTTTATGCACATTTTCCTGTTGATACGCCTTTGTTTGCTCGCTTGTTCGGCGGCTTCCCTTTTTGGGGTTTTTCTACGTATTTTTACCTTACTCACCGCGAATGCAGGTTAACAAGTGGAAAATGGGTGGGAATGGTGGGGTCGGTTTTACGCAGCGGGTCGGATAGATCAGAGAATCGCCCTTCGGACCCACCCCTCCTGCACGCTTTTAACGCTTTCGATTGCCATCGTAAATTAATCCAAACTGCGTGCCAAACAACAATCACACAGAAAGAAATTATTTTATGGTTAGCCATTAAGCAATAGTAAAACTTTGTAATATAAAACATTTTATTGAATTTTTAAATTTAAATCAAAAACGTATATTATCTTAATTTGATACATAGGAAGTGTTTAGATGTTCTAGCTCAAGTTAAATTAGGTTTCGAATATATATTCTTTCATTTAATTTTGAAACCTAATTGTTATAGGTAGTTCTCTTTAATCAATGGGATAATAAGTAAGGCTAAAATATATGTTTTATAGATATGATGGTAGAAAACCAGTTACAAAAATGCAAATGAAAAATTAATACATAGAAATTTCATTTATTCTGTTTCAAAAACCATTGTGCCATTGATTATTTTCTGTGCATCACAGTGGTAATGGAAATTCACGTAATTTGGAAAGCCACGGAGGCGCGGAAAGCGCGTCAGAATGAACGGCAAAATAAGAACGCAAGCCGAACGTGTGAACCGGTCAAGCTGTGCCGCCTGCAGGAATTGCAATTGTGGGCGGTTCCCCTCTACTTAGATACCATCCCTCCCTCCCGGATTCCTGCAGAGATTGGCCATGACCAAAAGAACCGCGTTACAGATATGGATTCGTTTTTTGGATAAATGAGGATTGGCTTAGGTTCAGGTCAAACTTTTAGATTTTAGTGAGTTTATCTAAACAAAATATCTGGCTTAAAAGAAAAAACAAAAATTAAGATCTAAGTCAAAATCCAGAATAGGTACTTTTATTTAGTTTATAAAGAGACTGAATTATAATACCAACTAAAATTCTTGAATTCTTGAACTTCCGACAATAAAAATTAAAAAGAAAACGGAGAATGTTCTTCAACATAAAAACAATCATGATCATCATCTCTTAAGAATTTCCCATGATTTTATATACAGAGATTTATACTTCACTTAAATTTTGGTAAGGTTGTAGTATGGTTCAGCAATGACTTTTTTATTTCTTAAATATTTGAATTAAAAATGAAACTGAGCTAAACTGAGTTATGCATTGTTTGCGGTCAAATTGCACTGACTCCGCAGTTTATTAATCACAATTGAAATCTGACTGTAACTTAATAAAAACATTTAATAACATTTTTAATGACACTTCTAATAGTTTACTCAATTCTGCTAGAATTCCCCGAATCAAAATTAAACAAAACTCTGACATTCCCTGACATCAGTAAATGGGGTTTTCAAACGAATTGCGTCGCACTTTTACGCTATTAAAAAAAGACATTATTCAAAAGTGGAGACGCCAACGCTGGCCAAGATCAAGGATACGGCTATTAAAATGCGCTGGTCAAGTTAATTGGGTATCTCTGCTGCCGACTGGGTAATGGGGTGTGGGATGCCGCAGAAGAGGGCCGTTAAATGGGGTGTTTAGTTTAATGACGGCCCTTCGATGCGGCGACCCCAAAAGGCTTCGATGTTGGGAATCGCTATCTCTGATGGCCGCCATGCCTGTCAACAACTGTGGGCTTCATATGCACCAATGTATGGGATTCGTGGCCGCCCGGCAACAATTAATCCACGGTTTAAGTAATTGACAAATGATTACGGGTTTGATATATGGCCAGGGTAGCAACAGCCGCGCCAGTCATGATGGAATCGTCTGGCCAGGCGTGTATAATATATATTTATCTTGGCTTATGCAAACGCCAGCCCCAGCCATCCCCTCCCCCAAAAACATCTGGCCCATCTGCGTCATGGAACTTGTTGCTATTTGCCGTAACTCCTGCTCTTTGTTGCAGATCTGCCTCCGACTGACAGTTGCGCAAAGCGTATTCACATCCCTTTCCGGTCGTCCTGTCCCGTCCCGTCCTGTCCTGTCCCAGCTGAGTCCTCTTCCTTTCACTGTGATGCGTTGCCGTCCATTTGTGTGATTAGTTCTGCGTCGCCACCACTTCCAAGTTCTTTTTTTGGCACACAATGCACGACTGGCATCAAGGACGTTGTGTAAGCGTTATAAAGAGCCACAGGTTGGACCTGCAGGTTGACGGGCAGCTACCTTACTAAGCTGAGAAAAATAAGTAGCTGGAATCTGAAATGTATGTACACCAACACAGCGATCCCGAAGTCATACAGAAATGTACAAGTAAAGGGGAGATGATCTTTTAGGTCTTAAAATTTTCAATAATTTAAAAGTATTTAAGGAAATTAAAAAAATAAAAGGATATGGCCGTTTTTAAGAGTAAAAAAGCTATAAATATTTAAAACTAAAATATATTTTTGTTATCGTAGGATTACTTTTCTTGTTGCAATGATTTAAGTTTATGATACCAACTTGTCGAATAAATAATACTATTTTCTTAGGTAATAATATACTTTGTTTAAAATCGGTATGCAATAATTTTACAGTAGAATATAATTTGAGTTCATAAAGAGATTTCTCAGTCGAAACGTTATTTGATAATTTAAAAGGATGTGAGATTCAATGACTTATTTTCGCTCAGTACAGTTAAAATTTTCCACGCACTGGGATGCAGGACTTTGATTGCTCCTCCTTGGAGTGCATTACCCAACGCGCTCTGGCTTGGCATATGAGCTCTGTAATGGCCACATTTATCATAAGTCGCGACATTAGCAGCCAAGCACACAATAAACATGTGACTCTTAAAGGGAAAGTAGCATCCAAAGTAGCAGCATCAATGGGCTGCAGGGGAAAGGATACAAGAAAGGATACCTCCCACTAGAAAACCGTAAAAGAGAAAGTTTT